ACTCACTCAGTCACTCACACTCACCCTCACTCGTTTGCTCACTTACTCGCTCACTCACTCACTCACTATCTCACCCACTCAATCACTCACACTCACTCTCACTCGTTTGCTCACTTACTCGCTCACTCACTTATCCACTCACTCGCTCACTAACTCTCACTCAATCGCTCACTAACAGAGTATGCCGCTTCTGCCACAGTGTATATGATAGCACGCCCTGTGTGGGCACTGCTCTCCCTGAATGACCTGACAGCCACCTGGGAATATTTATGCAAAGAAAGTTTATGCCTGTAAACAAGAGAGGCATGGAACATACACCAGCAAGTAACTCAATACAGCATGAGCTATCCCTAAAGAACTCATCCAAAGTAAAGGAAAGACAAAAAATATCCCTATGTTTTGACCAGTCTTTACTCAAAAAATAACCGGTTTGTTTCTTGGTTTATTTTCGCTGATAAAGGCCGTGTTGCCTTTTTTTCCCTTTTAAATTTACACGAAGATAAAGACTAGTTAAAGCATTCCACTGTATCTTTGCCAGTTGTTTTCATTTAATTCAGTTGTACTTCTTAAATACAACCTGCATTGTCTAAAGTTACGTCTTGATTCACTGGCATTAGACCAAAGTTGTCAAAGTGCCACATACTTGTTCGGGTTTCATGAAAGGTAGTACTTCATTTTTAAAGGAATTCACATTTATAAAAGGACCTTTTTCCACGCCTTCGGGCGTTTAGGGCTAGACCTATAATTTTATAGACCAGTCGGCACTAAGTAGGTTATGTGGTCAGCATCACGCCGGCCGCCTTTGCTTCCAAGGATTGTATCTTATACCCACTCAAGGCTGGGTCGACTTGAAGTCAGTTTAAAAAAAAAAGAACGTCTAGCTTCGTCAGGACCTGAGCCACCACACACACATACACAGAGAAAGAAAGAAAGAGAGAGAGAGAGAGAGAGAGCCGCCCCCCCTCCCCCGCCCAGTCAAGGAAAAAAATAACTTCAGTGAGAAACACGAAAATTGCACTTGAACGATTTTGGCTGGCAGTGTCCACGATAATCAGCTCCACTTTGCCCCTAATTTGACCGTAACTGTAGACAGAAATGATTGTGGGTTAAAAGGGAGAAGTCAAGGCACCATACCTTTTGTTCCTTCATGAGAGGATGGTAAAATTCCACATAATCGACGAAAACAATCAGCGGCGTGGATAAAGCCATGGTGAAGACAATGATCAAGGCAACTGCTAGAATGGCCTGCCTGTTGGATATCCGTGTCTTGAAAGGGTACACAATCAGCATGTAGCGATCCACGGCGATCATGAGGATAGCCAGGGAGGAGGAGAACAGAGGCACCCCAAAAGTTGGCATGGCCACGTAACACAGGATCCTGCCAAACATCCAGTTATCGCTGATCTGGTAGTGAAGCTGCAGGGGCATGTTGAAAACACACAGCGCCACTTCGGCTAACGCCAAGTAGCAGATGAAGATGTTGGTGACGGTGTGGAGCTGTTTGTAGCGGATAATGACCACCACGATGAGCAGGTTAGCGAAAAAGCCGAATATGATGACGAAAGAGTAGATTATAATGACCATCGTTTGCCACTGATCTTGCACAAGGACTGACCACTCACTTTTCCAGGCGTCGTAATGGTCTGTGGCATTGAGAAGCGCTAGCATATCCTCGAAGCTGACGTTGCTGTCGTACATCTGCTCAATTTCTTGGGGTCTGAGCATACCACGTTCCATCGCAACAGCCGATGACTCGGATATAAACTTATCAATCTGACTGATGTCTGTAGAGATACTCACTTCTCTAATTCCATTCCCATAGAAGCACACGCGCAGTGAAGGGAAAAAAAATGTAGAGTTTATATCTGCTGAGAACGATGATAACGTTGTTGTGATTGTGTTCGAAACTTCTGAATACGTTTTTCACGTGTTTCGATTAACTGATAACATTTAGAATGGCTCTTGTGGTACATTTAGCTCATTTAAAGAATTCTTTGCTTGCCCCAGCAAAAAATCAGCAGATTCCAGGGGGTCGTCATCCGAGCTTCCGAATTAATGCTTTGTGCGACGCTTTCAGTTGGTTATCTAGTTGCTGTCTGAGACAGATTAAAACAGTTTTTTTTAAAGTGAAGTTGATTCAATAACCTTTTTTTATTCTATTTTTTTATCTTCTGGCCCGTAAAAATCATGCATATTTGATCATGTTGGTTTGTTTGTTGTATCATGCAGTGCAGCCCAGATGGCTCAGCCTTCAATGTTAACTTTGTCAGTTTCACACTCGCTGTATGTAAATCATTTTTTTTTTTCCCCCTTCTTCCGTTGTCGTTTATGACTTCATACACTTTTGTCTGAACAGTCAACGCATGGTTTGTTGTGCATACATTTCACTGTTGGTCTCGGCAGCCGTCAGATCATATTAGGACCTTTATGCCAAAATGTGTACTTCAGCAGAAGCTGTGCGTTGATTTTCACAATGATGTGAACGTCCCAGCGTTCAGTAGCATCTTGAGACGACTGAACGTAAAATGGCGAAGTAAAATTATATACAGTCAATAAATGCTAGCATAATGATGCCCTCGAAGAGCATATGCAACTTACTAAATGTTTAGTGTCAGCATAAGTAGAATCAGCAGGTTTGACTGAAATATTATCACATATGTGGACCTGAATCAGAATGATCTAGCTGCACACGTAATGCCATACAGCATGTTCTGTTTTAGATTTATTCTTTATCCATCAGTTTCTGGGTGCCTACATAGTTTAGTCTTGGCACGGACGTTCGTTTGCAATGTAAGTTTACTATAAACAAGGAACACCATTGTTAAATAGGTCACACACAAGCTTCAGATTGTTAGAAATCCCAGAGATGCACTATCAGTTTTGTTAGTCACTATTTTGGGCGTGTGCGCCAAAGAACTACGAGATGGTCATCTGGTCGAAAAATGACCGCGAGCTTTTTAGTATGGAATGTATAGAACAGACTTTTGCTGAGGTTGGTCCTGACAAGGATTTGCCACCAACTTCAATCCAACAAAGGTCGCGATTGCATCATCCAAGTGCAATGGGAATGCATTGCTAGTAAGTGTAGATCATTACAGATGTTTCCACTCTTAGATGTTTCCTTTAGCTCCAAACCCATATGGAACTGTCAATGGCAGTGTGGGCGATTTCGAGAAAAATAGGCAGCAGGGAATTCATGACTTGCCGTTTTCTAACCTGCATGAACAGAAACATTGGTATTTAAAAAATTTTTTTTTTTTTTTGGCGAAGCATAAACATTTTTTGAAAGATGATAGATGATAAGTGTACTACCAAAGTATATCTTATGACCTCACATACTCAACGCTTGGGCACGCTAGGCATGTCCTTAAAGTACAGGTCTCCATGCTGACAATATATAACAGAATTTGTTTTTCTTTTCTTCTGGACCATCTAGGCAAGGCCTTTGCGCACTCGTTATTTCCCTTCTTAACTCTCTCTCTCTCTCTCTCTCTCTCTCTCTCTCTCTCTCTCTCTCTCTCTCTCTCTCTCACACTCACACACACACACACACACACACACTCCCCTACCTCCCCTTCTTATATTTTCTGCGAGTTAGTGGTTCCGTGCGGGTCATTGATGTGTGAGCATTTTATACAGCACTGGGAAGGTATATGACGACTGGATCACAAGAAATTACACTGACGGCTCCCAACACCTAATAATGCTATTTATTATTTTTTTTTTGTAGTTAAACAAGGATCAAACCCGTTAAGGCCCCCCACCCATAATATTCTATAAACGGGGCCTCAGAGGGCGTTTACCTTAATTCCGTAATGTCTACATGCATTAGGCGATGAGTACAAATTACATTTGACTTCTAGTTGAACGACGAGGTGCTGATGGTGGTTACTGTTAGCATTTAGGCGCAGGGGCGCCGACATTAAAAATGGGGTTAGGCCTTTTTTAAGTGTGCTGTAAAAATAATATTTTTGAAATACGTTAGTGTGTATAAGCAGAGCACCCAGTGTGGATTCCGTGGGCCCCTTATGGGGGGAAACAAGAATAGACCCACTTCCTATCAAGCAGAATTAGGGGTGTTCTTGGAAGTCGCATTGGGTCTGCATACAAATGAGCCAGGTCAGTAAAACGCATGTACCCGCAACACTCAAGTTTTGAAACAATACTACAGCTCTGGAGCCGGCGAATCAGAACTTTCCTCTGAAGTTTACAATCAATGAACGCTACGAAGAAGAAGAAGAAATACGCTGTAATAATAATAATAATAATAATAATAATAATAATAATTACTCTTGTAATTAATATCTACTTAATGGTGTATGTATATAATAATATATGAATAACTATGAATTGGAGAGAGAGAGAGAGATAGATAGAGAGAGAGATAGAGAGAGAGATAGAGAGAGAGAGAGAGAGAGAGAGAGAGAGAGAGAGAGCGAGAGAGAGAGAGAGCGCTTCTGTACATGGTTAGGAAAGCCGCTTAGCCATTTTGCACATTATTGGTGGGGATGGGGTGGTTGGGGGTGGGGGGTGGGGGGGGAGGGGAAGAAGCACACTCTCAGACATTTTTTTCTAAAAGGTCAGGAGACTATCATACCTGCCTGATACAAATGGGGGGGGGGGGCGCTGACGGTGCCCTGAACCCTTACGTCCCCGGCGCCCTTGTCTCGACTACTGCTTGAGCAACGTTAGTGTAAGTGCCCAGCAGGAATGCTGAGCGCTTTCGGATTCACTTGCTTTCCAGAGGGCCGCCTAGTTGTTGTATCTGATTTTTCTAGGAATCGACGCCTTTTCAGAGACCTGCGAACAGACTGTTGCCTCAGTGGGATCTGTCTCCATGAAACGGGCAATATGACATCTGTTAAACTGTGTATGCATTTGTTTCGGTCTCTCTCTCTCTCTCTCTCTCTCTCTCTCTCTCTCTCTCTCTCTCTCTCTCATACACAGTATGTATGCATGTCTGTCTGTCTCTGTGAGAGAGAGAGAGAGAGAGAGAGAGAGAGAGAGAGAGAGAGAATGTATACACAGACACGCACATAAATTTGGAGAGGGGGGCAGAAGGATTAGAAAAATCAGTTGAAAAAAGATACATCCAAACAACATAATACGAAGAAACGTGGTATTAAAAACCAAATGGTTGATGAATAGGTAAGGCCATCGTCATATCCGAGACAAAGTTGACAGTAACACCCCAGGGGGCAGTGAGGGGGAAACGATACAGACACACGGGAATAAGAAATGAATTGTCGGGTATCAGGTAATGGTATTCTGGTAAACATTGATAGATACCTACAGGAAGAGCACATACATCGCTAGGAGTTAATTAACTGCTAAATTGTGTGGGATATTTTTATGTGTAACACTAGAGGCTAGGGTCCTTTGTCGATACTTACTACCGTGCAGTCTAATTAAGTGTCTCGACGTATTGACATCCTGCAAAATTCATCTGAGCCAAGTTTTTTGGTCATTGCATGCGGGAGCCACTTGGGCAGACGTGTCAGTGAGTAAACAGAGCAATGCTCCCTGAAAAAGATCGAATTGAGTTGACCGAGGTATGCACATGAGCGATAGAAACAAAGTGGTTAAATCGAGGTTTGCCCATAAAGGATAGAAACGAAAGTGGTTGAACTGAGGTATGCACACGAAGGATAGAAACGAAAGTGGTTGAACTGAGGTATGCACACGAAGGATAGAAACGAAAGTGTTTGAACTGAGGTATGCACACGAAGGATAGAAACGAAAGTGGTTGAACTGAGGTATGCACACGAAGGATAGAAATGAAAGTGGTTGAACTGTGGTATGCACATGGAGGATAGAAACGAAAGTGATTGAAATGACATATGCACATAAAGGATAGAAACGAAAGTGATTGAAATGACATATGCACATAAAGGATAGAAACGAAAGTGATTGAACTGAGGTATGCATGTAAACAATAGAAAAGGAAGTGGCTGTACAAAGGTATAGGATGCGTATCTTGTGTATACATACGCCTGGTATATCACATTCATAGTTATGTCATGTGAATACCTATAGTATATCACATACATGTGTATATCATGTGCTCATCTCTTATATATCACATGCATAGTTATATCAGGTGCACAACTTCCGTATATCACATATACAGGTATATCTTGTGCATACCTCTGAAATATCACATACATAGACATAATAAAGATAGACATATGCTCGAAAATTTAAAAAAAAATCCGGGTTGGTCTCATATAAGGGTAGAGAGTCATTATTAGAAATTTAAAAAAAACAATGGAGTCGACATCTTGGTAACCACTGGCAGGATTGATGGAATGAGAGCAAGAGGAAGGCAAAGAGATTAATACCTGAATAGCCTGGCTAGATAGATTGGACGAGACAGAAACATTGACCTGATTCGTGATTCTGGTGATCGCTTGAGAAGACACCCTCTGCTTACTAGCATGACACGTGATGATTATGAGGGTGATTATAAGGGGGCGTGCGTGCATCCTTGCATGTATGTGGTTCTCGGGGAAAGGGGAAACAACAGAGGAGGTATGTAAGCAGTAGAAAGTAGGTACTTGTACCAAGTCCACATCAAACTATCTATCCCATTTATGTTCCACCAGTTTCGTTGTTATATCGCATCAAACTGAAGCGCTTGTAAAGTTTGTGTAACCGCATTAAAAAAAACACAGTCCTCCATATTACAGTGCAGCCTGCTCAAGGTAAGCTCGGATGTGGCGGAT